GGGGTATGTTGTCTGCCTTCTAATCAAGTGGAGGAGAAAAGTACGGCAGATGCAGGAGATATGGAGGACAGATGGAGAGATGGAAGAGAAAGGTGGTGAATGGAGAAGAAATGAAGGTGCAGGAGATATGAGAGGGAGATAGAGATATGGAGGAGAGATGGAGGGGAGAGGGCGAGATATGGAGGTGGAGGAGACATGGAGGAGAGATGGACATGGAGGAGAAAGGTGGAGGTATGGAGGAGAGATGATGGTGCACCTGGTGGAGGCATGGAGGAGAGATGAAGGAAAGATGGACAGGTGGAGGACGAAGGTGGAGGACGAAGGTGGAGGCATGGAGGAGAGATGAAGGTGGGGATATGGCAGGGAGACTGGGATATGGCGAGGAGCAAGTCCAGGGACAGGAAATAACAAAAAAAAAAAAAAAAAGGATCGGTATTTCCAGCGTTTTCCAGCGGAGGGGATGTGGCGAGGAGATGGGGGGTTATAGTACGACCTGGAGGACGACGAAGGAGAGTGGAGGTATGGAGGAGAGATGGACATGGAGGAGAAAGGTGGACATGGAGGAGAGATGGAAGAGAGGTGAAGGTGGAGGGTGTATGGAGGACAGATGGAGGACAGATGGAGGACAGATGGAGGACAGATGGAGGAGAAAGGTGGACATGGAGGAGAGATGGAAATGGAGGACAGATGGACATGGAGGACAGATGGACATGGAGGACAGATGGAGGAGAGGTGAAGGTGGAGGGTGTATGGAGAGAAGATGGAGGAGAGATGGAGGAAAGATGGACAGGTGGAGGACGAAGGTGGAGGCATGGAGGAGAGATGAAGGTGGGGATATGGCAGGGAGACTGGGATATGGCGAGCAGCAAGTCCAGGGACAGGAAATAACAAAAAAAAAAAAAAAAACGATTGGTATTTCCAGCGTTTTCCAGCGGAGCGGTATTTCCAGTCCCTGTACATCAAGCCCTAACGGCCCCTGCGCATCAAACCCTGAAGGACCGTCTAGATCAGCGTGACCCCTGCGCAGATGACAAACACAAATCGAGAAAAAGTCGAACAACAAAACCAGGGTCCTTCGGGACATCCGGCGCAATGGGAACTACACAGAGATGATTACCATGACCCTGACGCAAGGATGACACACGATTCGAGATGATTACCAAGCCCGATAGATTGGATTATTTTCGAAATTTCGATACCAAGGTGGGAGAGGAGGAGGAGGAGGGGAACGGTGAGGAAGGGGAGGAGGAGGACGAGCGGAAGGAGGAGGAGAAGCACGCAGATGAAGGGGAGGTGGAGCAGAGGTCGTGCTAATCTTCTCTGTGTCGTTCTCAATCTTTTGGAACGATACAGAGAAGATTAGCACGACTTCTGCGCAAGGATGACACGCACAAATGGAGAAAAGGTTGAAAAAAAAAAAAAACTCGACAGATTCGACACCTGTGGGAGAGGAGGAGGAGGAGAAGGAGGAGGAGGAGGAGGAGGACGACGAGAACGGAGGACGAGGACGATACAGAGAAGATTAGCGCGACCTCTGCGCAAGGATGATACGCACAGATGGAGAAAAGGTTGGAAAAAAAAAAAAAATCTCTCTCTCTCTCTCTCTCTCTCTCTCTCTCTCTCTCTCTCTCTCTCTCTCTCT